CCAAACCAAAGACAGTTCAGTTTTATAAATAGCAAGACTTTTCTCCTATCTCCAAAAAAGCGCTATAGTCATGACCCAGGCACCAAAAATTCCAGGTCACATTTTTTTTTTTTTTTTTTTTTTTCTCTTGAGACAGAGTTTCACTCTTGTTGCCCAGGCTGGAGTGCAATGGCATGATCTTGGCTCATGCCTGTAATCCCAGCACTTTGGGAGGGCAAGGCAGGTGGATCACCTGAAGTCAGGAATTCAAGACCAGCCTGACTATGATGGTGAAACCCCATCTCTACTAAAAATACAAAAAATTAGCCGGGTGTGGTGGTGCATGCCTGTAATCCCAGCTCTTCGTGAAGCTGATGCAGGAGAATCGCTTGAACTCAGAAGATGGAGGTTGCAGTGAGCCGAGACTGCGCCACTGCACTCCAGCCTGGGCGAAAGAGCAAGACTCCATCTCAAAAGGAAAAAAAAAAAAAAAAGTCAAATTAAGAAAACTAAGAAAGGCAGAGAAATTTCTTCATATTAAAGGAACAAAGGAGACATGGGAACTCAGTACAAGGCATGATCCTACACTGGATCCTAATCTGGGGAAAAAATTCGTTTATAATTAATTATTGGGACATCATTTTAACAATTGAGAAAATCTGAATTTACATTTGAACTATGGATTACATAGATAATACAAAGAAACACAGCAAGTGGGGCAAGATATAAATAATGAATGAATGTAAAGGGCATTTGGGAGTTCCTTGCACAATTCTTGAAACTTGAGATGAAAGGAAATAATTGTTCCTGAACCATCATAACGGAATGGGTAGAAACAAACCCTGTCTTGTTTCTTTTTGGCCTTTTAATTTAAAGTCAATATTTTAATAATCTTTTTGATGCTCCAGTTGGTTGCTCCCAGCCTGCAAATGGACCACTACCAATATGTAATTAAAGGAGAATAACAAATAGAATATAGATTACACAGGTGCTGACTTACAAATGCAAACGTTGTAGCAGAAGATTAAGCTCCCTGGAGGCTAGAGGCGCGCATCTTTGCTTATTGCCATCATAATTCATTAATGGTCAAAGTAACGCTGAGATCAATATTCCTGCAGTCATGGGAATGAAAAAAAATGATCACCACCAAAACAAGATACAAAGACAGCCTCAAAATGTTTCTCCCTGCATAATTAAGAAACCACTCATTGTCATGAATTTTAAAACTGAACAGATTTTCTTAGGTATTGAGTGTTCAAGAGGTGGCATACGTTAAAGGATGTTGAAAAGAATTGTTGTTCCCTTACATAGAAGGGTATGCAAGAGACAGAGAAACAGAGTTGCATATGTTTATCTAGTTATCTTCTTAGCTCCTCAAGAACAAATATTTTCCTTGAAGTCTTCTTTCCTTTCTCTCTCTCTCTCTCTTTTTTTTTTTTTTTTTCTGAGTCACCCTCTGTTGCCCAGGCTGGAGTGCAGTGGCGGATCTCAGCTAACTGCAAGCTCCGCCTCCTGGTCAGGCCATTCTCCTGCCTCAGCCTCCGTGTAGCTGGGACCACAGCGGGCCCGCCACCTCGCCCGGCTAAATTTTTGTACTTTAGTAAGGCGGGTTTCACCATGTTAGCCAGGATAGTCCCATCTCCTTGACTCGTGATCCGACTGTCTCAGCCTCCCAGAGTGCTAGAGTTACAGTGGTGAGTCATTGCACCAGCAGGCTTTTTTTTTTTTTTTTTTTTTTTTTTGAGGGGAGTCTCACTCTGTCACCCAGGTTGGAGTGCAATGGGTAATCTCGGCTAACTGCAACTTCTGCCTCCTGGATCCAAGCGATTCTGTGTGCCTCAGCCTCCCGAGTAGCTGGGATTACAGGCACTCACCCACCATGCCTAGCTAATATTTGTATTTTAGTAGAGATGGGGTTTCGCCATGTTGGGCAAGGTGGTCTTGAAATCCTGACCTCAGGGTGATCCACCGCCTTGGCCTCCCCAGATGCTTGATTACAGGCATGAGCCTCCCGCGCCTGACTGTGGCTTTTGATTCTTCATCCAAAAAATCTTTCCCCAGATGGATGTCATGAAGTATTTCTCCTTATTTTTTTTTTCCAGTAGTTTTATAGTTTCATATCTTAATTTAATCTTGGA